TGAGACCATCACAGCATGATTTTTGTTTGATTGAGTGATCAAATCATGTTCATTCATCTATAGAAATACATTTCAAAAGAAAGAAAAACACAAAGGAAAAGTATATAGTGAAACTCTTTATATTTGGTACGAGGTGGTCACAATTGATCTTAACAATTAGATGTGAAATTGGGTAGCTGAATTTATTCCATTGACCAAGCTCAAAGTTCGAAATAAATTTTTTCGAACTTTATGACACACCCAAGCTATCATATTTTTCATCGGATGATTATAAGTAATTGTGACATTCTTGTACCAAAGATAAATAATTTTATTGTATACAATCCCAAACACAAATCGGTTTTGACGTCATAAAATGCTCAAAATCAATTTCCACACCAATTCAACTCCTTACCGATCATTTGATGGGAGACTAAGCTTATGGTTTTCAGAGCTCAATTTTTTATCCTATGAATCATAGGGTCCTAAAAATCCGGTGCTTAGGGTATTACACCAATTGGATCAAATGGGTAATTTGGTCCAATGGGACCAGTGCAAGCAGCAAGGAGAAACATAAATGGGGCTAAGAGAAAGGGTGGGGTGAATAATGGGAAATCTTGAAAGCGAGAGCAAAAATAATTATCAAGACATGAGTGAAATGGTGGTTTGACCAGTCAAATGACCAATCAGTACCTTTGTAGATCTTCTCCAAGATAAAATATGATTTGGATAAAAAGCAATAAAAACCAAGGTTAGACTTGGTTTTATCCAGTTTGACCATTTAAATGAGGATGAATAATTTTTTTTAATACATGTTATAATTTAAATTATTACTTCTATTTTTCTTTTATTGTTTCTAAAATTCGGTCCTACCAATTTGACTAGTGGTTGGATTGATTTTGATTTGCCCTTACCGTCACTAGTTCAACATCCTGTCAATCTTGATAACCTATGAGTGAAACTTTTTCAAGGAATAGAAGGGGACCATAAAAGAAAAAAGAGAAGCAACAAGACAAAGAAGTGGGTTTTTCTTTGGCGTGTTGAGTGGGGCTTTGCACACATGCTCGATTTTGAAAATGATGAGATTCACTTTTGTAAAGGAGTAATTTACTAGTAATCAAATTTGATCTAGTAGTTGAAATGAAATGAGAGAATATCACTGGAATGGTCAAACTACTTGAAAAAATCAATGAAGTGTTTAAATCAATCCCTTTACTGATAAAATGATGGGGAAGGATATAATGAGACCATTTATTTTTTTGTGGAAAGTGGTCACAATTAATTTTGACTATTAGATGTGAAATTAGGTGACTGCATTTATTTTACTGACTAAGCTCAATATTCAAAAGAAATTTTTTCGAACTTTATGATCCACCTAAATTATCAGATTTCATATTGAATGATTATAAATAAGAGCAATGATCCTATAGAACCCTCCCCCACCTATGTGTGTAAGATCCCAAATGATCACTATTAAAATTAGCACAGACATAGGTGAGGGAGGGTCCTATAGTATTATTTCTCTATAAATAATTGTGACCTCTCTGTACCAAAGGTAAATGGTCTCATTGTATACAATCCCTAAAATGATTATTTCTTAAATGGTATTGTTTACATAAAGTGACAATTTTATTTGTGGAAATAAGATTGCAAACTTGCAATATCCTACACCATTCAACTAAAATTGATTGTGTAGATTTAAAATGTACTTTAAATAGTACAAAAAAAGCACATCTTTTAAGATAATGTCAAATTTATATTGTTCAAATACAATAGACAGTGTAGGTCAATACAATCTTGCTATATAAAAGGGGTAATTTTGAAAAGTTTTATTGATATATCCATTTTATAGGCTAGTAATTCGCCTTACTTTGGTGCAAGGCCTCAAGCCAAAGATTTGGCCAATTTAGGGGAAGCGGAGAGAATCAAATAACATTAAGAATGAGACTCGATACTTGTAAATTAGTTTTGATATAGTAATTAATGAGAGGAAAGAATATCGGTGAACAATTTAGGGAAAATTGCACAAAACCCTCCAAAATGGACTTTCTAATCAATTTACCCCCACCTAATTTTTCTTAACAACTGTCCCTTAAAAACCATGTTTCCTAGCAAATACCCCAATACAAAAAGTTCATTTTTTTGACGAAAATACCCTTCCTTTACATAACAAATCATTTTCACCGGTGAGGGTGTTTCGGCATTTGGAAGAGGCAGTCCGACGATTATTTTGTTAGAATCAGCAGTCCGGCATTTTGAAGGGGCAGTCCGACGTTTTGAAGTGGCGGTACAGCATTTTGAAGGGGCACTCTGGCATTTTAAAGTGACGGTCTAGCATTTTGAAATGAGCAGTCCGACGTTGTACAAGTGCACTCCGGCGTTTCTTTTTATTGGGATCCGAAAATGATTTATTATGTACAAGAAGGATATTTTCGTCAAAAAAAATAAACTTTTGTATTGGGGGGTATTTGTTAAGAAACATAGGTTTTCGGGGGGAAGTTGCAAGGAATAATTAGGTAGGGGTCAATTGATCACAAAGTCCATTTCAGGGGGGTTTTATGCAATTTTCCCAACAATTTACCAATAAAATTATTATTTGTTGAAGGAAACATTATCTAAATATCTATAAGAGATGAACAACTCAGCATTTTATTATATCTCTCGATTTAATTTCAAAATACCTATAAAAAACACATGATTTTGAGTTGGAATAGTTGGAAAGAAAAGTATACAAAGAGACCATTTATTGTTAATACAAGGAGGTCACAATGGATAAAATGGTCACATTTAATTTTAAATCAAGTGGTTGTGAGTGTATTATTTACTAGACCCAAAGTTCACCGATGGATAGATACAATGGTCACATTAGATTTTAAATCAAGTGGTTGTGAGTGTATTATTCATTAGATTCAAAGTTCATAAAAAAAAAAGAAAAATCTCGAATTTTGTGATATACTCCAAGCCATCCAATTTGGCATCTAGTGGCTAGTAACAATTGTGACATCCTTGTAACAAAGATAAATGGTCTCATAGTATGCAATCCCTAGTTGCATATAGGCAAAACATTATACAATTCATCTCTTATGGGCATTTTGGAAACTTTCTTTTATTAAAAGGAAAGAGTTTTTATAAGGCATCAACCTTATAAATGAGAAGTAATTGTAATGTGTACTTCAAAAACCTACTGGAAATATGCTGTTCTATCTTTGGAACCTTGTAAATTGATCATCTCAATTTCGAGATGTATGGATATGAAAAAAGAAATGATTTCATTCCAAACAAATAAGGAATCTTATAACACATTATTTAGATTGTCCACTTTTATGATTTTCGAATGTTTATAGATTTGCTTGATCTACATTGTATTTGAAATTTTAAATTGTATAGTTAGGGGTGGAAATATATTTTCAGGTCATCGTAAGATTTTTGAGACTAAAACTGCGTCTTCTGATGACGTCTGAAGGTGCTTGTGAATGTGATTGTTTAAAGTATGTCAAATAAATTGATCATCTGTGTATTTCAAAAACCTACTGGAAATATGTTGTTCTAACGTTGGAACCTTGTAAATTGATAATCTGAAATTCGAGATGTATGGATATGAAAAATAAAATAATTTTAAGTCATACAAATAAAGAATCTTATAACAGATTATTTAGATTGCCCACTTTCAAGATTTTGAAATGTTTATAGATTTGCTTGATCTACACCATATTTGGAATTCTAAATTGTATAGTTAGGGGTAGAAATATATTTCCAGGTCATCGTAAAATTTTTTGGAGTAAAACTGCATCTTCTGATGAAGTCTGAAGGTGCTTGTGATTTGATTGTTTAAAGTGGGCAAGTCAAATAAACCTCACCTTTGCTGAAATTTCTTTTTTATAGCTCAATTTAAAAATACTTAAGTTTCCCCTATTTCTTATTTGTCAGCTAGTACAATGAAGGCATTTTGGTTATTTAACCATTCAAGTCACTTGATTCAAATGACCCATATAGTTACGATGATTATCAAAACATGGAACATATTTTTCATTAAAAATCTTGTCCTATGTAAGTAGGGTTGTTTCTCATGTACTCCGACCTAAGTCACATAAAGGAAATAATGCAAATGCCCATGTCATGGGTTCCAAATAAAGAACACGATATTTTACGTAAAATACTTCATCAAAATGTGAATCTGAATAATAAAGGGTATTTAGTCCTGGTCATTTGGTACAAGTGGATTTGCACTTAAATAACTGCATAAAGCAGTTAGTTTGGAGAGTAATCACTTCATTGGTAAATTGGCTAATTTAATATTCTCATTAAATATATGAGACTATTTTATTTATATTTTTACTATTTAAAGTGCCTCATCAGATAAAATATGTTTACATGTCCAAGAAATGACTTTGGTTCCTAACAAAAAAAATCCCATAATATTATACTCCTCAGGAGCTTGTCACATGGCAAACAAATACCCTGTGATTTTCCTCGTAGTTTTGATGGGATTTCTGGAGGTCGTATTGTCCTAAAAACAAACAAAAAAGGGCCTTTTTCTTTTCTGGTAACTCTTCCAATAAAGGGCAAAAAGAAAACGGATAGGAGAGTGAGAGAGAGAGAGAGAAAATGGGGGAAGATCCATGAAAATCACTACATGGC